ACGCATGACGCGTCGTGGCCGGCTCGTGCTCTGCGTCGTCCTGCGGTAAGACTATCTGCCACCTTGGAGTCGGTGTGGGCAATTGTTGGAACATTGCAGCATGTAACCTTTCTGCGCGTCGCTTTAGGCGCAGGCCCATATGAGAGCTGCCAATTCTGACGCAGTGGGCGCAGCTGTGCCGTAGTCGCCAAGTTGCCTAGATACGTAGCACTTGATGGTCTGGCTGCCATTGCGAAGGTGTGCGCGGCCTACGTCGTCCTCGACGGTGGTGACGACGGCCCGCGCAAGCCTGGCAGAATCGGATTGGCGCGCCCCGTCGGCGTAGAGGTGAATTCGACTGCCTCGGACTGTCCGTCGTGAAGGCGCTAGCTCCAATGCCATGACAGCAGCTGGGTGGGATCTCTTTCTCTGGTGGGCATGGGAATTGGGCGGCAGGTCGCGGTGGGGAGGTGCGTCGCGGGACTTCGGCGATCGGCTCGTCACATCGAATGTCGATCGAACGGCGGGCGTCGATGGCCGACCGGCGGGGTGGGCCTCGCGCCAGGTTTCCCCTCGCATGTGGCAGGGTCGGTCGGCGGTAACGACCTGTCCGTTATGAGCCTGAACAGCTGCAGCCTGCCGTGCGCCGGATGATTGAGCGGTCGACCTTCATCCTGCGCCCCCTCTTGTCGGACTGATTGCTCTTGACTCCAGCTGAGTGCCATTTCGAGAAGTCGGGTGCTCGTTGGCTCCGCGGCAAATGGTGTGCTCGCGAATCGCCGTGCGTTCATCGCGTCGTCTCCGTTGCCGCCGCTCTGGACTCGCGCGCGGGCGGGTGGGTAGGTGGGGGGTGTTGGGCGGCGCAATCTGCCTGAATGGCGCCGAGCCAGGCCCTCTGGCGATGGCTGGGCCGTCGGGCGCCTCTCATTGTGCCGCTAGGTTCTGTCGGGAGAAACGTTTGAAAATTGCGCGCCGTTTTTGGCGAGGCGGACCGGTCCGGGGGCGCGCCCTCGTCGCGTGGCGCTCCAGCCATGCCATCGGCAGCGTGACCTTTGTGCAGCCTCACGATGCCTGGTGCCTCGTTCTCCAGTTGAGCATGCGGCCCCAGCTCGGCGGGCCCTTTTTTGTCCCGGCGCTCCAGCTTCTCGCGGCAGGTGCTGAGCGCGCCCTTCCTTGCGGTAGGGGCGCCCGCCTCCCCGGCGCGCCGATGAAGATCCCGTGAGGGGGGGGGGGCGCCTGCGAGATCATCTCCTCGGCGGTCGCCAGGCCGTCGCCCTCCTTCCTCGGCGGCGATGGCGCAACAAGGATCGCGGAGTCAGTGGCCGTCTTCCCCTGCCCTAGAAATAGCGCTACCTCATCAATCTCTATGTCGGTGCCTCGATGATCTGCCAGGACAACAAGATTATCTGGTTGGTCTGGAGGCAGTGGTCTCGCTATCCACGAACTGGGCGCGGCTGGCTGTGGCGGGCCACGCTCCTGGCTGCCGCGCAGCAGGTCGACGACTTGCCCGCCTTGGCTCTCGCCCAGTGGGCGCGCGCTGCGCGTCGAGGTCGACGAATGGAACGCGTGGTGGTCGTGCAGCAACTGCTCTGCTGGCAATGGCACGCGCTGCCGGTCGCGCCCCGTTGGGGAGGCCGCGATTGCTCTCGCGCTGGCGGCCGCGGCCACTCTGGGACTGCGTCGGTCGCGCAGCGCCCAGAGTCGCATCTCACGCGGGCCGTGGCCCCGCCAGTAGCGCGCGATGTCCCGACCCCATCGGCGTCGCTGGGGATCGCCAGTGGACTGCGCCTTCTCTAGTCTGTCAAGTACCTTCATGTGCGATCGGCGCTGTTGTGCCTGTGCGGCCACTTTCTGCGCGTGGATGAACTCCTGGGTGGCCTCCTCGGTGCGCTCCTGGTGGGTGGTGTTCCGTTCTCTCCACGTTGCCTCCTCCAGCTTGTGCAAATCAATCTCGCGCTGGCGGGCCTCGCCCTGCTGGTGCGATCCCGTCTCCGCTCCCGCAGGGACAATCCGGGAGTGTCCTCCTGCATGATCTGTTTTTTGCTGTGTCTGCTCCAGGTACTCATTCGCGCCTGCTGTCGTGATGTTCAGCAGTTGTTCATGGCGCTGCGCTGACTCGGCGCCTCAACCGCGCACCTGCCTCTCGACGCCGGTGAATCGTAGCTGGATGCGTCTTCCTCGGCGTAGTGTCTTGGCGTGGGCGTTTCGAGAAGGGTGGTCGGACCTTATCGCGCGTCTGCGTAGCTGTGCTCGCTCACTGGAGTCGCGTATTCACTGCGCTCCGATGAGGTGGCCGCGGCGCTCTATCTCCTTCATCTCGTTGCCGTAGGCATATCTTTCGGCGGTTGTCTTCTGCCCGTTGCATGTGTTGTTGCATGGCGTTGCGGTCCTGCTCGTGGCGCTCGAGAGGTTGTTGTGCGTTGTTCAATCTGTTCACGGCGTCCACGGCGCCTCTCCTGGGGTAGTGTTGTTTTTCTGTGAGTCAACATTGACGTTCTCGATGATTTCCAATTCCTCTTCAGCGCCGTGGAGCTTGGCTGTGGATCGTTATTATGCGCATGGTGCGCGGGCAACTTGTTGTGAGTAGTTATGGCGGCGGCGAGATCCTCGTTCGGCTTTTGCTGAGTTCGGCCGTCTTCGTTTGCGGTCTGCCTTTGATTCCTCCGCTCGTTCTCTACGTTGGCCCCGACGCCTCGCAGGTGCTGTCGCAACTCCTGTTGTCTGGCTGTCGAACTGCTCATTGGCCTCATTTCTGATGTTCCTGGCGTCATGGATGAGATGTTGGTTGTCTTCCTGCAGCGTTTTCAAGACGGCCCCAATGTTGCGTCTTCCAGTCGACTCCCCGGCCGCTCTCTACCTCCTAGGCGCCAGCGTTGCGGCCCTCCTCGATTGGCCTTCCCTGTGAGATGGTTCCGTCTCGTCATCGGCGGGCCCGGTGCTGGCGTAGGCCATGCCCCTTGCGGAATTGGATGTCCCTCCTGACATGTTGTAATTCTTGGTATTTCCCTGCACTGTTGCCATTTAGACCACCGGCTCCTCGTGGTGCGCCGTAGTGTGTGCTCGAGGTGGTCCTCCATGACATCCTTGGTGCGCTCGACTTCCCTGGCTTGCTGGGCGAGCGGCATGCTGCTGACGATCGTAGTTTTGACGAAGTCGATGTGTGTCTCGGCGTCAGTGGTTTGAAACCCGGCGATGCTGTCCTTCATAATGGCCGCAGCCTCCGTACGCTGTTTATTTGATACTATACCACTCCATGTTTGAAGGTGGGGTGGATTGACGGTGGTTCCCAGTCGGGCCTGCTTGCTGCGTAGACCTTGCAAATGGGAATAACGCTGTTGAAAGCCCCGGCGACGTGGTCGCTACAGTCTCGGGTTTGCCTCTCGCTGCTTCTTCTTAGCATGGGTCCCCTTGTCCTGTTGTGGTTGTTGGCTCACCTTGCCTTTCTTATCCTTCTGCTTGTCCTTCTGCGGGATGTCCTTGCTCTGGGTGTGGTCATCGTGCGGCTTAGGGAAAACTGCTTTTGCCCTTGCCGTTCGTGCCCTTGGTGTTCTTTCCCGCGCCCCTGTGCCATTACTCGTCAAGACGTCGAGCTGCCCATTTTGCAGTCCACCGGTCACTATTCCATTTTCCAATCCCGCACATACCGCAGGAGACATCTGTCGCGTAGGTGGACCCCTGCTCGGCGTTCGATTCGATGTTGATCGCCACAGTGACGCCATTGCTGGAGCTTGTTGTGGATGTCGTGGTGGCCGTTTCGCATTACGGTGTGCATCGAGTACTTGTCGTGCTTTAGCGTTCCGCTGCAGTACTCGGGCGACGGCTCGTTCTCGACGTAGTCGCCTGTGCCAGGCAGGTGATTTCGATCTTGCCACGAATGACGGCGTGGCCGCAAGCAGGGGGCGACAAGAAACGATCAGGTTGTCTGTGTGCGCGTATGTCGCGGGCCTGAGCTGGCCGCCGCCTCGGCCCCTCTGTGGGGAAAATGGGGCGGGATTGGGCGATAGCGGTTCTCCTGCTCCTTCTCCTCCTCCTCCTCCTCCTCACCTCCTCCTCACCTCCTCCTCCTCCTTCTCACCTCCACTTCCTCCTCCTACTCCTCCTCATCCTCCTCCTCCACCTCTCCTCCAACTCCCCTTCCTCCTCCTCCTCCTCCTGATGTTCCTCCTCATCCTCCTCTTCCTCTTCGTCGTCATCGTCTTCGTCGTCCTCCTCTTCGTCGCCCTCCTCTTCGTCGTCGTCCTCCTCCTCCCCCATCTCCTCCTCACCTCCTCTTCCTCTTCCTCCGCCTCCTCCTCCTCCGCATCTCCTCCTCCTCCTCCTCCTCCCTACTCCTCCTCCTCCCCTTCTCATCCTCCAACTCCTCCCTCTTCATCTCTCCTCCTCTCCTACCTCTCATCCCTCCTCCTCCTCCTCCTCCTCCTCCCCCCAAATCCCCGCGCCCCGTCCTCGCGCGTCCCCGCCTCGTTGCGTGCCCCTCCCGGCCTCTTCTGGCCACTCGAACGCCGCACCGCCTTCTGGACCCCTACGGGGCGACCTCTTCTGAGGTCAACTTCGCAACCCAACCAAACTGTGGATGCCCGACATGGGTACACTCGACCAGGATAGTAAGGATGCGCGGTAAGGATGCAAGGGCCTTGGAACGCCATGTTGACGTTTCCCGTGCGGAGCGCAGCAGACTGCCGAAGGATGCCGAATACCGAAGTGGCAAGGATGCAAGGGAAACCTTGGAAAGTTGCCCTATCCTTACTATCATGGTTGACTGTACCGAAAACTGGGCACGATGTCCAGCAACAAATCCCAAACCGACAGCGACCGCTGCTGGGCAGGCGGCCCTCTGTCTGAAATGGACAACGTCCGCGTCGACACCGACAACGAGTCCTGTTCAGAATGAACAACAACTGCTGTAGGTCCTCGTGTCCATTCTGTCCGTGCCCACATCGGTCCCTCAGACGAACGATGGTCCCCTCTCGCCGCACCCCGCCACGCTGCCCCAAAAACCACCCGGCCCCCCGCTGTCAGGCCTGCCGTGGGCGCCCGCGCCGGCGAACCAGGTGGGGGGCACCCCTGCGCGGCAGAGGGGGCAGGTCCTGGGCTGCGGGAGGCGTTGAGGCAGGTTTGCTTGCAGGGAGGGGGGGGGGGGAAAGGAATGGAAGAGGAGGAGGAGGAGGAGCAGGAGGAGGAGGAGGAGGAGGAGAAGGAGGGCAGGAGGGGATGGAGCAGAAACAGGATGGGGGTTCTGAGGTGGAGGAGGAAATTCGAGGATATCCATGGTTTCTTCCATTCCCTCCTCTTCCCCGCACTCCTCCATTCCCTGCATTGGGGTGAGGCGCGTGGCGAGGTCCGAAAGTGAATCTGCACTTCGCACAAGTCGGGACTCACTAGCACGCCTTTCCGGCCCAGCGCTGTTCGAAAACGCGGCGGGGGGAGGAAACGCCCAAACGCCATGCAAGCAAGCTTACCAATACCTACATCGAATACGCGCTGGGGGGGAGGCTTCAGGTTCGAGGCTTCCGCATGCATGTTACCCACCTCCCCTCCCATATGTTGTTGCACTGCGCAAGACCACGAGGACGAGAACGATTTGCAAGCGGCACCTCGCCGCGCAGACTGCCACCGGTGCCCCAGCGGGGGCAGGCGGACAACGAGTATGGGAGGGTGGCACAAGCGGTCCCGCCTGGTCTGAAATTGCTGCAGAGGCAGAAGGCAGGGAGAGAAGCGGAGGGCCAGAAGACACAGCGCATGCATGGGGCAAGCAGTGCTACCTTTGCTTCACTTTCGTGAATCAGCGTTCTCGTCTGAGTATCGTTTAACCGATCCCCATCCCCAGCGACGTGGCCTGGGCCCCACTGGCCGATTTACCCCCCTAGATGGGGATATAGGCCGTTCCCTTCGGGATTCGAGGGGTGTATCCTCAACTGGGGCGGTAATTTGGTGGGGGTCTCGAAAGGGATGTGGATGGGGATGGGGACCGGATAAACGATACTGATCGTCGATTCTCCGCGGTTCTCCGTCCTCGTCGGGATGCCCTCCAGGAGCTGCGCCTCGCCGAGAGCGCTCTGGGGGTGCCCGAACCGCCCCGGACGGCCGCCGGAGAGCCGAGAACCAGGGGGGCTCCGACAGAGGGACGACAGTAGAAGAGCGAGAGCTGTGCCCAAACACCGATCCTGAGCAGGCCCATCCTGAGCCCAGGATCGATGCTCACGCCCTCCTGGCTCGGGCCAGGGAGGCTCGTGCACTGAACCCTGTGCACAGGCTGGGCCTGGACAGGATCGGTGTTTGTGCACAGCTCTTCGCCCGAGACCAAGCGACTGCGACGCTGTGCACGCGGGCTCGTCTACATCACACGGGCATGTCCAGATGCGGTGGCAGCTCGGCGGAGGGGGCCTGGACCCCCAGCGTGCTAACACGGCGGCACGCTGCTCTTCGCAATGCTCGGCTTCTGGGAGCCATCGCGGGGCCCCGGGACCGTCACGAAACGGCTCAGGATGGAAGGCCCGCCCTGGGAAAGGGGTCGGGACTTCCGGAGGCCCTGCAGGAACACCATCAAGAGATCGGATGTGCGGGGAGCGCGCAGCGGCTCCAGGCGCCAGAGGGCACGGCCAGCGATGAGCCCTGCGGCGCTGGGTCGGCAGGCGTGGCCTGCCGCCCGAGACGCGCGGATGCCCTGTCAGGAGCCACCCGCGCTGCCTGGGGATAGACGAAGGGGATAGGGGTGAAGATGAGGATCCTCCTCCTCCTCCTCCTCCTCCTCCTCCTCCTCCTCCTCCTCATCCTTGGAGAGTATGGTGACGGGAGGGGGCGGGAAGCGAGCAGGGCCCGGGAGAAGGGGATGAGGGGGGTGCGCGCAGGCTGGGTGGAGCGGTGGACGGGGGGGGGGCCAGGGGGGAGCTGCCAAAGGGAGCTGAGGTGGCGGGCGCGGGGAGGGGAAGGTTGCCGGATTTGGGGAACCATCGAGCTCGCGGAGCAGTGGGCGAGGGGAGGGATTTGCTGGTTGCGCAAGGGAGATGGGCAAGGGGGGAGGACGATAGATAACTGGGAGGGCATCGTCGCCAAGTCCGCGGGCAGGCCATGTGTGTGCACAGGTGTTGCCGATCAGTTCACCATGACATTCACGTGTTCAATGCAATTTGTTGATTCGCTGAGCAGTCTCGTGCGGGTGCAGACGGTGAGGCACAATTTTTCCCCATATTTAAGGAAGGGTTTATTGTTACTCCCCATATCCAAAGGATGGGGTTCTTGCTATTCTCCGACCGCACAAGACCACCCGTCGCTGATGATGACGAGTATGATGTGAGTATGATGGTGATGGTGAGTGATGGATGAGTATGATAATGATCATTATAATCATGATGATGCTGATGACGATGACGATGACGATGACGATGACGATGACGATGACGATGATGATGATGATGATGATGATGATGATGATGATGATGATGATGATGATGATGATGATGACGATGAACAGATGATGAGGATGTCTCGAGCGGCTTGCTGGTTTTAGCACTCCGACGGGGGGAGGCCGCCAGGGGTATTGCACGGCCTCCGTCCGCGCCCAAATGGTGGGGATGTCTCAGGCGGTTTGCCTGTTTTGGTCCACAACATCCTCCGCTTTCGGAGCAGATTTGGAGGATGTCTCGTGCGAGGCGCCTCCTAAGGGGGGGCCGCCAGGGGTATTGCACGGCCTCCGTTCGCGCCCAAATGGCGGGGATGTCTCAGGCGGTTTGCCTGTTTTGGTCCCCACCTCCTCCGCTTTCGGAGCAGATTCGGAGGATGTCTCGAGCGAGGCGCTCATGTTTCCCCCCAGGGGGGCCAGGTTTTGAGGATGTCTCGATCGGTTTGCCTGTTTTGGTGGCCAGACTCGTGGGCACATATTCTCCCCAGGATGCCACCGGAGGCTCCAGCAGGCTTCAGGAGGCCCCAGGAGGCCACATGAGGTCCCAGGAGGCATCAGGAGGCCACAGGAAGATTCCAGAGGCCACGGGATGTCCCAAGAGGTTCCAGGAGGCCCCAGGAAGCTCCAGGAGGCCTCAGGAAGCCACAGGAGGCCCCAGGAGGCCACGGGAAGCGCCAGGAGGCCCAGGCAACAGGAGGCCCCAGGAGCAGGAGCCCTCAGAAGGCAACAGGAGACCATGTGATTGACGTATGCTCCTACAGATTGGGCCTCACCTGGCGCACGAATCCTCAATGGTATACGTATGTTTCTATAGATTGACCTTTTCCTGGGTATACAATCCTAAATGTTTTACGTCTGTTCCTATGTGGTGGGCCTCCCCTGGGGCACGAGTCCTTAGTGTTTTACGTGTGCTCCTACAGACTGCCCTTCTCCTGTGGCTCAAATCCGCAATGTTTGATGTACGGCTGTTCCTATAGATCGGGCTTCTCCTTGGGCACGAATCCTCCCTGGGAGGTCCCAGGAGGCTCCATGAGGCTCCAGGAGGCTACGCGAGGCTCCAGGAGGCCTCAGGAAGCTACTCGAGGCCCCAGGAGGCCCCAAGAGGCTCCTGGAGGCCCCAGGAAGGCCCAGGAGGTTTCTGGAGGCCCCAGGAGGCCCCAAGCTCATGCGCAGAGACGCGCTCGTACTAACGAGACTAATTCACGCTCCAATCCGTTCGAAATTAGATTCATGACCAGACCGTCACAACTCAAGCCCGCTTAGATTCGAAAACTCTTGCGCCTAGGCTCTCACGGCGGACAGGTCCATGCGAATAGATGCACATATGGGGGGCTCTATGCAGTAGATATTTATCCGACCGCGCCAGACCACCTCTCCCTGATGATGACCATGGTATGGTGAGAGCATGATGTGAGTATGATGGTGATTGTGGGTGGTGGATGGGTATGACGATGATGTTACTGATACTGGTAATGATAATTATAATGATAATGATAATGATGATGCTGGTAATGATGATGATGGTGATGATGCTGATGACGATGATGATGATGGTGATGATGATGATGGTGATGGTGGTGATGATAACAATAATGATGATGATGCTGCTGCTGCTGATGATGATGATGATGATGACGATGATGATGATGATGATGATGATGACGATGAGCAGATGATGAAGATGTCTCGAGCGGCTTGCTGGTTTTAGCACTCCTAAGGGGGGGGGGGGGCGCCAGGGGTATTGCACGGCCTCCGTTCGCGCCCAAATGGTGGGGATGTCTCAGGCGGTTTGCCTGTTTTAGTCCCCAGCATCCTCCGCTTTCGGAGCAGATTTGGAGGATGTCTCGTGCGAGGCGCCTCCTAAGGGGGGCCGCCAGGGGTATTGCACGGCCTCCGTTCGCGCCCAAATGGCGGGGATGTCTCAAGCGGTTTGCCTGTCTTGGTCCCCACCTCCTCCGCTTTCGGAGCAGATTTGGAGGATGTCTCGAGCGAGGCGCCCATGTTCGCCCCCTGGGGGGGGGGGGCAGGTGTTGAGGATGTCTCGATAGGTTTGCCTGTTTTGATGGCCAGACTCGTGGGCACCACATGAGGTCCCAGGAGGCATCAGGAGGCCACAGGAAGATTCCAGAGGCCACAGGATGTCCCAAGAGGCGCCAGGAGGCCCCATGAAGCTCCAGGAGGCCTCAGGAAGCCACAGGAGGCCCCATGAGGCCACGGGAAGCGCCAGGTCCCAGGCAACAGGAGGCCCCGAGAGGCCCCAGGAGCAGGAGGCCTCAGAAGGCAACAGGAGTGGCTCCAATCCCATGTGTTTTACGTATGCTCCTATAGATTGGGCCTCACCTGGAGCACGAATCCTTGATGTTATACGCATGTTTCTGTATATAGAAATATATGTATATATGTATATATATATATATATATATATATATATACATATGCTGTCCTTCCCCTGTGCATGCAATCCTAATTGTGTTACGTCTGTTCCCATATGTTGGGCCTCCCCTGGGGCACGAGTCCTTGGTGTTTTATGTGTGCTCCTGTGGCTCCAATCCGCAATGTTTGATGTACGCCTGTTCCTATAGATCGGGCGTCTCCTGGGGCACGAATCCTCCCTAGGAGGTCCCAGGAGGCTCCATGAGACTCCAGGAGGCTACGCGAGGCTCCAGGAGGCTTCAGGAGGCCACTCGAAGCCCCAAGAGGCACCAGGAGGCCCCAAGAGGCTCCAGGAGGCCCCAGGAAGGCTCAGGAGGTTTCTGGAGGCCCAAGGAGGTCCCAAGCTCATGCGCAGAGACGCGCTCGTACTATGGAGACTCATTCACGCTCCAATCCACTCGAAGTTAGATTCATGACCAGACCGTCACAACTCAAGCCCGCTTAGATTCGAAAACTCATGCGCCTAGAATCTCACGGCGGACAGGTCCATGCGAATAGATGCACATATGGGGGGCTCCACGCAATGAAGACTTTAGTCTTCTACAAACGCGGATCCCGATACAGGTGCCATCACTTAACCTGGACAATCTGGAGTATCTGAACACATATATCCACATCGGGAAGCATCACCCGATGGGAACTGTACGACTGGTACCGTTGACACGGAAGTCATGCAGACGGACTTGGTAGCTCATAGGAAGCAACTCAAAGGTGATCTTCTCAGGAACGATCACGGCCTATTTCGTATGAAGGACCATTAAATCGGCATCAGACCAGATTAAATCCAAAACCAACCTGGATTAAGCAGAATGGGGGCGGACTAAGCAGGGCTAGGCAAGAGCAGAACTGCTTTCGACCTAGGATCTGCCAGCACCGATGCTGAATTGAGCCTTCCAGGAGCTGCCACCGAGGCTCCCGACACGACACAAAATGGAAGGTGGGAGGGGGATGACAACTCATACCCCTGATGCTGGCTTGGTTTGAGCTTGGCCCCAGGAGTCGGAGAGCCAAACCACTATCAATGACAAGCCGCCGATGAGAACCCATCTGCCTGTTACTGATTGAGAAACGCCTGACCTTCGGACACAAAGACGGATGAGTAACCCGCTCACGAACTCACAATGGCAGGACTCGTTGATGTTCTTTCCCCTCGTAGGAGGGAGAGTCATGATAATGCCCAGGCAGGCCTCCAGACGGAACCACACAGCCCGAACCGGACAGGAGAAACACCATACAGCCAGAGAAAACCACGCGGGACGCTGAGACCCAATTTAACACAACATATGCGCCATCGCGAGAAGTCACGAATGAAGCCCTGACGCCATCGTCCAGCGAAAGCGCCCAGTGTGAAACAATTGCAACATCCGGATCTCAGGTGCGGCCCAGGCGGCTCCTAAGGCCCAGGGACAACCCACAGCAACCCCAGAGCGTTGACCAGAGGGCCCCGATGTGGCCCAGAGATTGCCTCGGGCACATGCGATGCGAGCCCATCCCCCAGCCGTGTGCCATGGCCTGGAGAGCTGCGCTCTCACTCTCTAAATTCCGCTCGCTGCACAAACATTGAAGAAGCCTGCTTGGGTATTCGAAGCTCATGCCCAGCCTTTCCCTCACCTTCTTCACTCCACCTCCTCTTCCTCCTTCTCCTCCTCCTCCTCATCTCCTCCTCATTCTCCTCCTCCTGGTGCTCCTGTTCTTGCCCCTCTCCCCTGCATTTTCCTCCGCAACATATGCATTTCTTGCTCATCCTCCACCTCTTCACCCTCTGGGGCATCCGAAAGCTTAGGACACCGTCACGAATCAATTTGGTTTGCTGTTGGGTCGCAGAAATGGCGAACGCCTCAGGGATGCAATTAGGCAGCAGCGTCAACGTGAAACTGGGTCAATGGGCGTGCGAGTGGTTGGGAGCGTGGGAGCAGGTGGTCATAGTCTTCTGCTCCTCGACAGTTCCGTCGCATCGCCCGCCCAGTCCCGCCCGGGAGAAGGTCCCGTGGGAGGGGCATGGCTTTCTTCTGCTCTGCCCCCTCCCTGCCGAGAGCTTGTTTGCCTCATCCGCTCGTGACCGCCCGCGCATCGACCTGGGAGGGACCCCTCCCGGGCCGCTCCTGCACTCGGAGAGCCAGTGCAGGATGCACTGGGCGTGCCAGCAGTCGTGGCCGCAGGGGAGCGCCTGGCGCCGCGCGGCGCAACGGCACCGCACTGGCCCCGCCAGCTCCTCCGGCCAGGAACTCCTGCGCAGCGCGCTGCGTCGGCGGCCCCGGCGACACGCTGCACCCTGCGAGCTGATGGCACGTGGCTCCGTTTTGTGGGGCGGAAGGCCGGGAAAAACTCGGGGTCGGGCGTTCACTAATGGGGGGGGGGGGCGGTAGATGGTGGGGTAAGAAAGATACACCTTTCGTACCCTTTCGGGGCCCCAGGGGGCTCGTTTAGGGCCCCTTTCGGGCCCCTTTCGTGCAACCCTCGACGCCCCCCCCGTTGATCGCCCCCCCATTGCCGCACGCCCGACGGGGCGGCGACGCTCGGGGGCCGGGGGGGCGGTTCGCGTGTCGCGCGGGCGTGTGGTGGGCCAGCACCGGCAGCGCGACACGCTGAGCCCAAGTTCCGGCCGCACGCCCCTGCCGCAGGCAGCAGGCATGATAGGGGGCACTCCCCCCTCCCTCCTTCCCCCCCCCCCTCTCCTTAGGCCTGGTGAGGCCTGGGTGGTTTGCGTCCGCAGGGCGGGAGTTCAGCCCCACACGCTAATGCTTTTGAGCTTTCAGTTTCCACACGTCCAGCCCCTCCAACTGTGCAGGGACCCAAGGCGGCGCTGTGGAGCCTGACGTTTCCCCTTGCCGGGTCGACCCGATCCCCCTCCCCTCCCCTTCGAGGAGAGAGGGCGGCGCGCCCGAGCCCAGGAGCAGCCGTCGCCGACCTCCGGCTCGCCGCAGCAGAAGAGGCACGCCGCCTCGCGCGCCTCGGGCGTCGCCTCGGGGGGGCCCCAGCAGAGAGGAAAACACTGGATGGTGGCAATTGGCGCCTTCATAAAGAACCGAACTCTATACACCGACGCGTCTTCCGGGCCTGCTCTGAAACTTGCAAACACTATAACGAACCCTGGTGTATACTGGATCCTGGTGTATACATTTTTCGTTGTTTCCCACGTCGTCCTCGACCCTCAAAAAGTGCTGGGTTTAAAAAGCAGCCCACCACTAGTAATGTATAGGTTCCAATATCCGACTTCAGATGTTCAGGTCAGACTTGTGGAAGGAATTTGGCACCCATCCCTAAGGCCGTCTTCGTTGACTGGGGGACCGTAAGGACCGGTGCCAACCTGCCTCCACAACTCCAACCTTAGTACGAGGAGGCGGCATATTCGGGATCACAGGGATCTGGAAGGGGGGCAGACGACGACGACGACGATCTCCTGACGTGTCCTCGCCCAGCGCAACAACTTCACATTTTTGCCACCGCAGCGCCACGGCAAACCCGCGGCGAACGAGTTGAAAAATGTGACCCGCTGATCCGGGCTTCTGAATGCAGGCAGGGGCGCACCAAAGACCCGCCCAGAAGCAGACCAAACAAACGGCTGGAAGAGGGCCCCAAGACAGCCCATGGGGGCCCCCATAGGGCCAAAGAGAGCCCCAGACGCACAAGGAGGACCCCTGGATGTGGAGGAGGAGAAGGAGGAGGAGGAGAAGGAGGAGTAGGAGGAGGAGGATGGAGGAGGAGGAAATCTTCCCCTGCCACTGTAAGACGTCTGCTGTGGGCTGTGCCGTGGACCGCCGCGCACAACGGGCCTCTTGGTCAGCCTTGCATGTGTGTTGTGGTTCTCCTCAAAACCTCTTTGGCCGTCTTGTCTGAAGGGCCCCTGGGACACACAACTAAATGGACACAAATAACCGGATTCCCCATATGTTCCTAGATTTTCTTGGTTCTGGTCTTCCCCCCCACTTCCAATATTTTCATACATGTTCCTGGGAATCGACGATAATTTGTGTCTGTGTTTTTTCTCCGCCTGATTGGCTACCTCACGGAGCCAGTTTGGACTGTCTTGGGCTCTCTTCGGCTGCATTGGGGGTGCCTCGGGCGTCTTTAGGGTCGAGGTATCCCTGGGGCCCTCTCGGGTCGTCTCTGCCGTCGGCCAACGCCGAATCTTCAACCTGTTTTCAAACTTGGCCCGCCATATCAATGGCCACAGCAAACGCACGGCAAGCTTCTAGAGTTGAGAACCCCAACGCCGACGCCTGAATGGGAGACTGAGGCGGAACGGGGGTCTGGAACGGGAACCCCAGCGTGGGAGCTGAAGCAAATGATGAAGGTACTAGGCAAGCAGTCACATGACCTCACAGACGCACCCTGGCTCTCAGCGGTGCAGCCTGAGTTGCCCGCGAAGTTCGTCTACCAGCACATTTGTCCGACATGCGTTTGTTAAGAAAAAGCCACCATCGCTTGACGAGCAAGGCTTCTCCCATTGCCCCCATGTTGTTGAACCACGCTCTGTTGCGGCCAAGGACCCAGCGTAATGCGCACTGAGACACGCCGGGGAAACATGCGCATCGATCCACATCCAAAAAACCGTCCGCAACACGGTCGGAAATGAGCCGTGCATCTGCACGGGGCAATATCAATCAACATTGAATCAGGACATCGAATCAAATCGGAATGTGCGTCGCATAGGGCAGCATCGGCGAACGAACGAACGAAGCAGCCATACGCCCAACGCGCGTGGGCAGACAGGTGCAACTAGGCAAGCGTACGAGCAAAGCGCCAAATGCGCATGAGAACGAACATTTACACAGCACCCACACTCGAGAGCCAGGCTTGAATGTATGTTAACTCGGAGCGTGCCTATACCATAAAATCTTGATTTTAGAGTGCTGGGGGCAGGCGGGGGTAGAGCGACAACCCTAATCAACAGAGGCCCCACAGAATATCCGACGCAGCAGCGGGAGAGAAAACCCCACAGGACAGCGAGCGGCTCGAGAGGAGGGGGCACCCTCCGAAAGTATCTGTTCGCAGCGGCGGGGCCCCGTGTGAGGCCCGAAACATAAAAGGCCGAGAGGTACCTGACCGTGCCTCGGCCCACGGTCGGGCCAAAAAGCCTCGCGGCGAAACCCCCGAGCTCATACAAGCCCAAGGGCGGGCAGGGTTGGGAGCCGAAACTTTGCGCCAGGAGAGGAGGGACAAGCACGAGAGAGACTGCGCTACTCCTCCTCCTAATTTGCAGTTGAGGCGGCTATCTGAACGTTTACAGGGGGTGTGTAAAAGTGTGTTTAAAAACGCGTATTTACACAGCACCCACACTCGAGAGCCAGGCTTGAATGCATGTTAACTCGGAGCGTGCCTATACCATAAAATCTTGATTTTAGAGTGCTGGGGGCAGGCGGGGGTAGAGCGACAACCCTAATCAAAAGAGGCCCCACAGAATATCCGACGCAGCAGCGGGAGAGACAACCCCACAGGACAGCGAGCGGCTCGAGAGGAGGGGGCACCCTCCGAAAGTATCTGTTCGCAGTGGCGGGGCCCCGTGTGAGGCCCGAAACATAAAAGGCCGAGAGGTACCTGACCGTGCCTCGGCCCACGGTCGGGCCAAAAAGCCTCGCGGCGAAACCCCCAGTCCCGTCATCACTAGACTGGCACTTGTGCCTTCACGCTTCCAGCCACAGCTAGACACGAGCGCGGCACACATTCGGGAGGGGGGGGAAGGGAGATAATTTGTGTCGCTCTCACCCACCAAAAAACCTGCTTTATATTTTCTCCATATCTATCAAATGTTCAAGGAAGACAAGTGGAGGACAGGGTGCACGCGCCCAAATCTCGAGGCTCCTGCATTCATATCAAAAGATATGGCCCCCGCAAAAGGCGGGGCCTGAAATGAGAGTGGGGGCCGCAAAAGGCTGGCCTGCTCATTGCCGTCTGGCCCTGCTACGGCCAGCAGTGGATGGGCGGCTGGTGGGCTCCGCGCCTCCGTCCGCCATACTCTCCAGCTGCGGCAGCACGACCTCGTCGTTCTTGGCTGCCACAAGCTCGTGCACCATGTCCCGCGCCAGCGGGGCCAGCACAGCGTCGGAACGGTAGATGGCCTCTGAGATCTGCTGGGCGGGCCTGCGCCAGAAGGCCCTCCCCCGCTCAAGCTGTGCGGGGGTGAGCCGGCTCCGCTGCTCGATCAGCACGTGCACTTTCGTGTAGCGCTGAAGGGCCGACGCGGTCTGCCAGCGGCCCTTCCGGCGCGCCGCCTCCAGCGAGCCGCCAGCGGCGATGTAAGCCGCTGCCCCCGCGTGCCTCAGCGAGTGCGGGGGGCCGAAGTCCGCCAGGCCCGCCCTGTCGAAGGCCTGCCTCCACGCCTTCCTGTACTTGTCCTGCGAGATCGGGAAGAGGAGGTCCCGTGGTGCTGCGCCCTTGCCAATCGCCCGTAGGATGGCCTTCGTCACCTGCCACGAGACCACGACGCCCTGGTTCGCTCCCGTCTTCACCTTCTCGCCCCGCTCTCTGCGGCCCTAGGTGAGCCCGACCTCCCCGTCGGGGCCCACCGCCACGTCCGTCTTCCTGAGGAGGCCCCAGTCCTGCTCCCTCAGCCAGCCGTCCAGCTGCAGCAGCACCGCGGCCCCCTCGTACAGCTGACCGTGCTCAAAGAGGTCGTAGAGCACGCACCCCACCGCCTCGAACGGCACCGGCGCCCCCTCCTTCTGGAAGCCCATCCTAGACCAGGACTTCAGCGCCCTGGCCGCGACGGGGAGCCGATTGCGGTGGTCCTCGAAGATGTGCATGAAACCATTGAACAACGCTGACGCCCTGCCGAAGGGCAACTGCATCACGTAGCACATGTCCGATATGCACCCGCCAAGCGCCGCATCCCTTTCCTCGTAAGTGGAGAAGGGGAGCCCGTGCCGCTTCACGTCCAGGAGGAAGGTCCTCACTTCCTTCTCGTAGATCTGATTCGTGGCGTCGTCCACTGCGTGCACCACGAGCCTCACATTGTGGTGCAGCTTGTCACTCGGGGCCTGCTCCCAGGCCCGAGCGCCCCTCTTGGCCAGAGGGGGGGGCTTTGCAGAGGTCGTAGCGGGGCCGTCCACCCCGCGCCGCGGCATCGCTTCGCACAGCGCCAGCCCGCTCATGGCCATCGCAAATGCGAAGCTCCAGGCGGTCCTCGTCGGGCCCGATCTTGCAGCCGCTGAAGTAGCTCCTTCGGCACCCCACGGCCCACGTGGCCCGCCACGGTGTCCTCCGCCGCGCCTATGCCTTGACCTCTCGAGGGGCCGTCTGCCAGGTTGAGCTCGCTCGGCACCCACCTGAAGTATCCGCGGATCCTGCAAACCATCTGGAAGATGCCGCCGATCCTCGCCAGGTGCAAGAGGTCCTTGGCAGACGAGCGCCCCTTCTTGAGAACGCCCAAGCTCACCAACGAGTCGGTGAAGAACAGCACGCGGTGATTCTAGCTCTGGGACGTGCGACTGAGGTGTCGGAGCACCGCCACCACCGTACGCAGCTCCAAGACATTGTTGTGCTCTGCGTGAGACCAACGTCCCTGAAACAGCACGTGCCACTTCTTCTCCAGCCTATGGCCCAGCAGAGGCAGGGCCGGCCCAGTCGCTCGCACGACGCGCCCGCGGTCGCCCTGCAGGCGAAGCCGGGCCCCCGCTGGTATCGAGTCCCAGTGCGGCTCGAGCTCCTGCAGAGCGGACGCGTATGCCCTGCACAACTCCAGCGGGTAAGCACATGCCACCTGAGTCCACCGTAGCCCACCTGGTGATCGTCCTCGTAGTTCTCGGTGAGCTCGGCCAGTCCGACTGCATCGGCTCGAGGGGCACAAGCACACCCGCTGTAGCGTCGCCATCTTCTTCACGTTGGTGATGAACGTAGTTGGCTTCCTCCATTCTTCGCCATAGATGCAGTAATCCACCTCCGCACGGAATACCCCCTCGAGATCCAAGAGCGCGGTCATTGGCGCGAACGCCCATATCATGCTGGTCCTGGGGTTCTCGAGGG